GGTGAGGACAACAATCCGAACGATGTAAATAGTGTAAATAATGAAAGCATTAAGTCGAAGATATACTGAAAAACTACTTAATTAATTTACGTTACGATATTTATAGGAAAAAATCGTATCACAGAAAGTTAGATTTGTTTAAATAAATATATTTCCTAATTTTTTATATCGAATTTTAGGAGAGAAAGATTATTAATCATTTTCTGGATATTCCTTTTTTTAGTATACAAGAAATGTCTGTTTATTTTTTCAAAGTTTGAATTGCGTTTGAAACGACCTCGCTTATTGGTTAAAAATATTAATGTGTGAATTTGAATTTGACGTTCGTGTGATCCTAATTTTGCACAGAATTGAAATCTCAGTCATACTACTTAAATCTATTGGATTTTTTCTGCAATTTTTAATTATATATATATATATATATATATATATATTAGCATTTGGGCAGCAACCTGACTTTAATACATGTTTTGATTTGATGTGCTGTTAATGTTTATAGTTATTTTTTTAATTGCATCCGAACAATTCTTTTCTTTATTGATGTTATTGATTGTAGAAATTGTCCAAACGTGTGTAGATCCAGAGAGCTTTGGACTAATCTGTTATTCAATTTTAAGGGGTTTAATTATACTACTATAACGCATGATGTATTTGTGGGTGCCTGGCTTTACGTATTTTTACATGTCGTTCTAGGCATCCGAGTTTGTAGCCTCCTGTCTAGGCATCCTGGTTGATAGCCTCCAGTCTAGGCATCCTAGTTTGTAGCCTCCAGTCTAGGCATCCTGGTTGATAGCCTCCAGTCTAGGCATCCTAGATTATAGCCTCCAGTCTAGGCATCCTGGTTGATAGCCTCCAGTCTAGGCATCCTGGTTGATAGCCTCCAGTCTAGGCATCCTAGTTTGTAGCCTACAGTCCAGGCATCCTGGTTGGTAGCCTCCAGTCTAGGCATCCTGGTTGATAGCCTCCAGTCTAGGCATCCTAGTTTGTAGCCTCCTGTCTAGGCATCCTGGTTGGTAGCCTCCAGTCTAGGCATCCTGGCTGGTAGTCTCCAGTCTAACCATCCTAGTTTATAGGCTCCGTTCTAGGTATCCTAGTTTGTAGCCTCCACCCTAGGCATCCTGGTTGATAGCCTCCAGTCTAGGCATCCTAGTTTGTAGCCTCCTGTCTAGGCATCCTGGTTGATAGCCTCCAGTCTAGGCATCCTAGTTTGTAGCCTACAGTCCAGGCATCCTGGTTGGTAGCCTCCAGTCTAAGCATCCTGGTTTATAGCCTCTGGTGTAGGCATCCTGGTTGGTAGCCTCCGGTCTAGGCATCCTGGCTGGTAGTCTCCAGTCTAACCATCCTAGTTTATAGGCTCCGTTCTAGGTATCCTGATTGGTAGCCTCCACCCTAGGCATCCTGGTTGGTAGCCTCCAGTCTAGGCATCCTGGTTGGTAGCCTACGGTGATTTTTGTTATTTGTATCGATCCGACTTCAACATTATTGAATATGATAATTTTATTTTTATTCGGTTGTTTTTATTTAATTTTGCAACTTTGGTCTTGTCATTAATGATAATTTGTATTTTATTGTTGTAATCATGTTTATTTAGAATAAATAATTATTATTCTTTTATGACTATTTTAAGATTTTTGTTAGGCTACAGTTGTAATTGTTGAGGTTGATACAGTTTTAAATTCATCTGCCTATAGGAAATCTTTTAAAGTTACATTAAATAAAAGATGTAAACATAATATTTCGATAGTTGATGTACCTGGATTTGTGATGTTCTTTAAAAACCCTTTATTTTGGCATCTCTTACTATTGTAACAGGTTACTTGCCCTGTTTAAATGTTTAATTGCGTGGGATTACAGGATAGTGATTAGGATTGACTACAAATTTGATAACTAGGAAAATTCTCAGGAGAATAGGGTGAAGTCAAAAAATGAAAAAAGAAGCGGGTAAATATTGTGTTTCAAATAATAAAACATGTTTTTTGAACAGTCCTATAAGAATTGAACCCACAATTAACTAAACAAGATTCAATAAAATTGAGTAAAGTCATGGATGCCAACTGTATCCACTTTCCATCGATAAGAAGACATGATTAATAAGTTGTGAGAATTTCTTGAGTCATGACAGTTTATTTACAAAACGTGTTTTCTTACAACCAGACAAAATTAAATTCGAAGGTTCTTTACATTAGGCTATCTGTACAAAACGAGAATGTCACAGAAAAGAATGATCGAAAATATCCTAAACAAAGATGAAAACATCTGATTTTTTGCTTATCCCTAAGGGTGGGATTTCTTTATAGTTGATCGCCCAAGAGCGCAACCATCTTTACAAAAAGATATCCAGGAAGATTCTTAACAAAGAAAGTACCATATGATGGTCATTTTCAACAGTTAAAATCTCTTGTGTTGAAGACAATAGGAGAGTTAATATATGTATGTAACAGGGTATTGTACTTGTTTAAGTGTTTAATTGCAAAAAATTAGAGGATAGTGATTTCCAAGA